TGGTTTTCCAGGTTTAGGGAGCTTATATGGGCCAATGCCTCTAATCTTGCTCAACCTCTGTTAGGAAAATCCACCCCCACATAAGTCGTATTGACTAGAACCGTGTTGATCAATTCGAACTCTTTCTACTACTTGGAGCAGAAGGTGCTCTCGAGAATGATAGAAAGGAATCAAAGCTTATGGAGAAGAAAGGAAGTCTGGAGAACAAGGAAGTTTAGAAAGACATTTAGAGAGAGAAACTTAGAGAGAGGTTTTATTGGAAATTCTGAGATGAGATTTTACAATGGGGTTACACACATATTTATAGGAGAGGAATGAAGGTGCTGACGTAAGCACTTAAGTTTATAGATCTAAGGTAAATCAAACGATGCAAGGGTTTTGTGTTGTTGAGAACACATGAAAGAGCAAATACGATTGAAAAGTTTGTTAAAATACGATTCTTTTGAACTCAAAACACTAAGGAAGGATTATTCCACTTTCATGGTTCCAATCGCCTATGTCTCTTAAAAAAATGGGCTCAGCTTTCGTTTGGTCATTGTACAGTGAGACATGCATTACACTCAAGTAATGATTGTCCACAAAACTCTTTAGGTCTACTTTCATAGCCTAAAACGATTTGCCCATCAAATACTATATCCGGAGATATAACAAGCTTTTGGAGCGTATATCAACCTATAATCAAGTCACTAGTTAGCTACTCTAGCAACAAGCATTAAGCGCAAATAAAGATGGAGAATCATAGGGTTTCCCCTTTAATTAACAACCGATTTTCGAAGGCAATTATGTCATGTCCTCAATGAAGGGATCCACAATTCAACAATGACTCATAGAGAGTAAAAGAGATCTCATGAATCCTTATGAGAGAGAGGCGGAAAGATATCAGTCGAACCGCATCTCAACCTTAGGTAGAAATCACTACTTCTACACTATATAAATCGAAACATGCAACCTATGTACAAATGCAAAGAAGAGAAGAAAAGAAAGGAAGCGCAAGGAGACCACCTAAGTGGCTCCAAAACTTTTTCTTATTGAATAATAGAATGTGTCTTTCTGAACAAGAGGCTAAAAGAAGCTATGGATTAGCTTCTTCAGCGTTCCAACAACAGCTTCTCTTCCACTCCTTCCTTTCAAAAGTATCATATGAGCTTCGATTTCCAATAAAACCATCTCCTTTGAGCAACGGAGACTCACCAGCTTCCCAAACCAAAACGCAAACCCTAACAAGACCTCTCTGATCAGAGGTATGTGCAAAACCCACAGAGGCAATGGGGGGCTTATGCTGGAGTCAACAAGCGTAACGCTTCCAACGATTTGGGGATTCTCTGAAACCCAATTTGAAGCTAACCCTAGAGCTGAATCATGAAGAACCAAATGCACAAGAGATAGATTCAGAGTATCAATCACTTGATCTAAAACCCTAGCTGTTTCTTCACTCTGGAGAGTGTCGGTGGCAGCAGCGGCGGTGATGGGCTCGCGATATCTGAGCTCGGGAAATCTCCGGAGATTGTCAAAGCTTTGAGTGGTAGAGGAATCGATAAACTCTTTCCTATCCAGGTTCGATCTTCTTCTCCATACCATTTTCTTATAGAGATTGTCGAATATCTGCACCGGATCAATTAAAGTTCGAGTTTTTTCATGTTGTTGGTTGAATAGAAAGCTTTGCTTGAGCCGGCGATGCAAGGCCGTGACATGATCGGACGTGCTAGGACTGGAACTGGAAAGACGCTTGCTTTTGGGATTCCAATCATTGACAAAATCATAAAATCAACGCTAAACATGGGTTTGTTAAAGTTCCTGGATTTGACTTTGTGTTTACAGTGTGACTCTCCAAAGATTTGACATTTCCTTTGGTGTCTTATCTATCTTTTGATGTGACAGGCGTGGAAAGAATCCTCTTTGCTTGGTTTTAGCTCCAACGAGAGAGCTTGCTCGTCAGGTTGAGAAGGAGTTTACAGAGTCTGCTCCAAGCTTGGATACAATTGGTCTATATGGAGGTACACCATTCGGACAGCAAATGTTTGTTAGTGTGCTAAATCGGTACGTACGAAGAAGAAAGAAGACCGGTCAAGCAAACTCGGATGACGTGTAACCAACTTTAGAGCTGGAAGCTTAATTGAATGAAAAAGGCTTCGTTCATATACTTGTACAGCTTTAAAGAATTATCCAGAGATTTATTGTAACAAACTAGAGAGAGAGTGATCGGGAGCTTGTTCCCGGATCAAGAGAGAGAGTGTAGCTCGGTGACGGAGAGGTACCGATCCCGATCTACGTTGTACTTTTGTTATCGGAATCAATCAAGTATTCTCTTAACAAATTGGTGCGGTGCATAAGCGAATTCGCGACATCGGAATGGGGAAACTCGACGATCTGACGAAAGAATTTCACGGCGAAGTAGCGGATCTGCGAAATCAGGTGAAGGAGCATCACACGGAATTCACCAGACGAATGGATTCAGTAGATCAGAACATATCAGAGCTCAATGCGAACATGTCGCGTATATCGGAGACATTAGCTCAGCTGGTGGCGCAACAACGATTGGATCCAGTAACTCGGGAGGATTTCGCGTCACCGTCGAGCGGAGTTCGTGAGGTACGAAATTCATTTCCGGCTGAAGCTGGAGGAAATAGAAATGTAGGTTATCGGGGAATCAACAATGTCTTAGAGAATAGAAACAATATGTTGAAGGAAGTGGAATTACCTCAATTTTGCGGATCGCATCCGTATACTTGGATCAATCAAGTGGAGAGGTTTTTCCGCCTGGGGAATTACAATGACGCAGAACGTATGGAGGTGTTGTTTATCACTTTGCAAGGCCCGGCTCTACATTGGTTCAACAAAGAGATGAGTCGAGATCCGTTTCGTGATTGGGTTCAGTTCAAGAAGAGATTGATAGCAATGTTTAATCAGAAAATGGAAGACAATCCACAAATGAGGTTGTTTGCGCTGAAGCAGAAAGGTCCTGTAACTGAGTATGTAAATGAATTTGAAGAACTCACAACGATTGTTACGGGAGCCGAAGAAGAGAATTTGGACCACGTCTTTTATTTGGGATTGAAACCTGAGATGCAAGAAGTTGTTAAAATGCAGAAACCAAGGGGGTTATCAGCATTGTTCAGCATGGTGATATCAATGGAGGATAGCATCTTTTGTAAATTCATGGCGGAAGTTGCAAATCCCTTCAGAAGGAGTGGGTTATCTTTTCCTTTGCGTTCGGCTTCACAATATAACTCTCAAAGGAATTGGAGCACTAGCTCAAGCACAGATAGCCCCAAACCATCAATACAGAACAACGAACCATCTGAAGCGAGCAAGACTCAGAGTCAGAATGCAAAGCCACCGTGGAAGAATAATGGAGGAAGGAATTACAGTGGGATGCTGAAATTGAGTCCGGCAGAGATAGCTGAGAAGCGAAGGTTGGGACTGTATTACAAATGCCCAGAGAAGTGGTCCCGGGAACATCAAAACACTTGTCACAACATAATGCTACAAGTGTTTACTGTGGTAAATGAAGAGGAGGTTGAGATTGTAGAAGAGGATTGGAATGAAGGATTGGAAAATGAGATGGAGGTTGTTAAGCCAGGGTCAATACAACTATCACTTTTTTCATTCCTTGGAGTAGACTCTCCGGGTGTGACGAAACTTTGGGGAACGATCGGAAAGACTAAAGTGGTAGTGATGATTGACAGTGGTGCCAAGCACAATTTCATCTACCCTTCTGTTCTAAGCAAAACACATCTCACACCTGCTAAGAACAGAACGTTTGAAATTTTGTTGGGCACAGGAATAACAGTCAATGGTTCGGGAGTGTGTAAGGATGTGTCATTGGAGTTGCAGAATCACGAGTTCACGGCTGATTTCTTCGTGCTGGAGTTAGGCAACACAGAGATAATCTTGGAAGTTCAATGGTTGAGGACGCTAGGAAAGTGTGAATGTGATTGGGAGGATCATGAGATGTCATTCAATTACAAAGGCGAGAAGATCACATTGTTTGGCGACCCTGAACTTCAATCTTCCGGGAAATCCTTGAAGCAGATGCAAGAGACGAAATGGGTGGAGTATGCAGAGTTGGACGTGGAGTTGTATGTAGTGAGTAAGAAGGAAGAAAGTATTGTGGTTCCAGAACAGATACAACTCGTATTGGACGATTTTGCTGAAGTGTTTGCTGAACCTACGAAGCTGCCACCAGTACGTGGGAGAGAGCATGCAATCAATCAGGTAGCCGGTTCTGGACCGATTAGCGTGAGGCCATATCGCTATCCACATGCTTACAAGGAGGAAATGGAAAAACTGGTGAGTGAGATGTTGAAAGCGGGAACTATCAGGCCAAGCAAAAGTCCTTTTTCAAGTCCCGTACTCTTAGTGAAGAAGAAAGATGGAAGCTGGCGTTTTTGCATTGATTACAGGGCACTGAATAAAGTGACAGTTGCAGACAAGTTCCCAATTCCGGTGATAGACCAACTGCTTGATGAACTTCATGGAGCCAAATATTTCTCGAAGCTAGACTTGAGAGCTGGTTATCACCAAATTCGAAAGCAGGAGAGTGATGTGAAGAAGACTGCATTTCGAACAACGAACGGTCATTATGAGTTTCTGGTAATGCCATTCGGGTTAACAAACGCACCAGCAACGTTTTAAGACCTAATGAACGAACTATTCAGGCCTTTTCTGGGGCGTTTCGTGTTGGTGTTCTTCGACGATATCTTGATCTTTAGCAACACATTATCATAACATGAAGCTCAGTTAAAGACGGTGTTGTCGATATTTGAAGAGCATAAGTTGTTTGCGAACAAGAAGAAATGCCTTTTCGGTCAGACTCAAGTGGAGTACTTGGGACATATTATCTCAGAGAAAGGAGTAGCTACTGACCCGTCGAAAACAGAAGCAATGAAGGAGTGGCCAATACCAAAAACAGTGAAAGAGCTAAGAGGTTTTTTGGGATTGACATGATACTATAGAAGATTTGTGAGAGGATATGGTTCCATTGCAAGACCCTTGACTGATTTGCTAAAAAAGGACATGTTTGAATGGACGAGTAAGACGCAGAAAGCATTTGAGGAGTTAAAAGAGGCTATGATGACAGCGCCTGTGTTGGCATTGCCTGATTTTTCTGAAACTTTTGTGGTTGAGTCAGATGCTTCGAGGTATGGCGTTGGTGCAGTGTTGATGCAGAATCAGAGGCCTATAGCTTACTTTAGTTCGGGTTTGACAGACAAAGAGCAGATCAAGCCCATCTATGAAAGGGAATTAATGGCTATAGTGTTGGCGATACAGAAATGGAGGCCCTATCTATTAGGGAGGAAGTTCATCGTTCATACAGATCAAAAAAGCTTGAAATTTTTGATGGAACAGAGGGAGCTGTCGATGGAATATCAGAAATGGCTTATCAAACTAATGGGGTTTGACTTTGAGATCATTTACAAGCCAGGAGTGGAGAATAAGGCAGCCGACGGGTTGTCTCTCATTGTGTATGAGGAAGAGAAGATAAGCTCAGGCCAGTTGATGTCCATTACGGTTCCAGCAGCTTTACAATTGCAGGACATTTTTAAAGAGATTTCTGAGAATGAGCAGATACAGAACCAATTGAAACGAGTGGTGGAAGGCAAAGAAGAGAGGAAAGAATTTTCAGTAGTCGAAGGAAAGTTAATGCGGAATGGATGATTGGTTATTCCACGGTCATCGTCTCATATTAACACGATTCTTCGTGAATTTCACGCGGGTGTTGTAGGCGGCCATTCTGGAGTTTTAATGACGATGAAGCGGATCCAACATGTGTTTTATTGGAAGAAGATGGAGAAGGATATACAGAAGTATGTGAAGGAATGTGATGATTGCAAGTGGCATAAATACTCAACATTACGTCCCGCTGGTCTATTGCAACCCTTACCGATTCCAAACAAGATTTGGGAAGACATTTCGATGGACTTTATTGAGGGTCTTCCGGTTTCACAAGGCGTGAATGTGATTCTCGTGGTGGTTGACAGACTTAGTAAGTTTTCTCATTTCTTGAAGTTGAAGCATCCATTCACAGCGATCGATTTAGCGAACAAGTTTGTGCAAGAAGTGGTTCGTCTTCATGGATTTCCAGGGTCTATTGTTTCTGAACGTGACAGAATCTTCCTGAGTTCATTCTGGAAAGAATTGTTTCGTCAAGCTGGTACTCACCTTAAGTTCAGTACGGCGTTTCATCCACAATCTGATGGTTAGACGGAGGTCTTGAATCGTTTCTTGGAAACGTACTTGCGTTGTCACAATGCATTAATCACCATATAAAGTATTACCAATAGGGAACAGCTTCAAAATCGTCCATAAACCTATCGACAGTTACTCTATTGCTTTGTAGAACATTTAATAACTGAAAGATGAATCACCCGAGGGCTTACGCGGTGGCTCTTTACTTTCACTTTATACAAAGATAAGTACAAACATGCTCAATGTTATTGTTCAGATAGAAAACTTCTTATTGCTTTAACTTTAAGTGTTGGGTGATATATTTTTCAGAAAGGTTGGAGGATAAAAGACCATAATCTAGCAGTGGCATACACTTGTATTAAGGAACCAACAGGGCATCTAAGCTCTGGTGTTACCGCAAAGTATGTCTGTAGTTGCAGGCTAACATAAACTGTTGAACGATTACTTTACAGTTCCGGTGAAAGTTATGTCGGTTATATGGAATCATCTCATGGAGTCTGATTACTGTGTATGGGATCAGGTTCTTATTGATCTTATTCCATGGTCAAACTATCCAATTTTATTAATCCTATTAAAATATGCCAATAATTCTCTCTGTATGGAGGGGATACTAGATGAAAAAAAAGCAATGAATTAGAAGACAAAACAAAGGAACTCTTGAAACTCCTTAAACAGAAAAACTCAGCTAACAATCCAAGACCCTAGAGCAGACATCAAGGCACAAACCTAACAGAAGCTCTTACAGTATATCGACATGCTAGCTCAGCGAAATTTCTAAGCTAACCAAGCAATCTAGAGTTAATCTCACCCTTAATCAATCTTAATAACTCTTGTCAAGGGGGTTGGCATATATGTTGACAGTTCCTGATTGTCAAGATGATGAAGACATAGAAAAAAATGATAATTTGAAAATGTTATATATATTTAGTTATTTACTCACAACTGTATTCTTATATTTTAGATCATGATTCTAATAATTTTATATAAAAGTTCTGCGTAGCCTATATTATAATATTTCCTTACTTTACATAGTCCTCCAAATTTTTGCAAACCAACATACGGTGGCCAAATAAAAACACCCACGTAAGGATTTAATTTTATCCAATAAAACGAGAGAACCACTCAAATGTGAAGTAAATAAATAATCTGGCTAATATCTCCATACACACGGCCTATGAAAGTTGTATTTCAGATTTAGAGTCTGAGCAAGAATTGAGATATATATTATCTTTCTTTTTCAACAGAATTGACAATTTAGTTTCATTGAAGTTGAGAAGAATGCATTATGTGTGACTTGCATTTTCCTAAATCAATTCAATATTTAAGATAACTGATTAATTAACTGAACATGTTAGAATTTCACTGTCATTCAAAGTCAATTGAAATTATTGAATTTAATTAGTTTTGGCAAAATTATATATGATGTTATAATTGCAATCTATAAATTATAAAATAGAGAAAATGAAACAGTCAGTCACGTCACGTTACATTAGGTAATGCATCATAGAGATTATTATATTATTATCATTTTTTAAAAACAAAATTTTCAAAACATGAAAATAAAAACTAAACTAAATGAGAAAAAGTAACAAAACCAACCGCGCGTAGCGCGGACTTCAACCTAGTTATATATAAAAATAGACAATATAATGGTAGAAAAGTACGACATACTTGTTTTATTTTAACAACTTTGCATAATAGCTTCTCAATTAAAATAGCTGGAGCACGTTTGTGTTGGTGTTATTTCTTCACCCATAAAATACAAACTCTTAATTTTGCCGGAGACATGCCTCTTCAATAAATATGTGTTAAGCAACACCTCTCACAAACTTGAATGCAAAAACCATCAACATCTGAAATGCATTCCATTCTTGTTCTCTTTAATCGCTTTACCAATTGCCAAACCCTTCAAGTCAACAGATTCGGTATGCATAAATTAAGCTTCAATATATTCGGTTTCCCTTATCCATATACAATCTATGATCCTTCTACATTGCACAGCTTCTACAAAGCGTTAATAACAGCTCGATATACTGCACCATCCACTTTTTATCACTGTTACAAAATTTATTATTCTTATTATCAGCTTCATCGATCTTAGCCTTAATCTTAGGGTCATCATAAGTAAAAACAGAAACGACTCTCTCTAGACCACTCCTCTTCTTCCTCTTCCTCTTCCTCAGCCGCATCTTCGATCGGGTAATCTATCATCAGGAAACACATCATCATCTTCTTTCTCGATGGTCATCATCAATGCTTAATCTGCAATAGATGCATTGCTTCCGGACGCATTGACGATTTATGTCGACACATCCATCTTCTGGATCATCTGAATTAGATCTTGCATGACGATTCTTAGATTCTCTAAGGAATCATTTATCTCTTCCTTTGTAATGCGTATGTCTCTGTTCTTGTCGAAGAAACACTCTTTTTAGAGCCACCAGGTAGGTTCTCACCTGAGATTCATATTTCAGCGGTGGTGGGTTCTTTTCGTTGATGTACCAAGTGGGCATCTAGATGGGATGAATACAAGTAATAAATCCCTAAAGACAACTAGATTTGCAAGTGCACAACATATAATTGTAGTACTTAGGGGTTGAACTATAAGGGATTGGATTTCACACATTACACAATCATATAGTTTAAAGATCTAAACTAAATCAAACGCTGCAAGGGTTTGGTGTTGTTGAGAACACATGAAATAAGCAAATAACATGATGCAATTCTATAGAAACAACATTATTGAATCATTAGAAAACTCCCTTGAAAACACATGCCAAGTCGATTGAAAAGTTTGTTAAAATCCTATTATTTTGAACTTAAAACACTAAGGAAGGATTATTCCACTTTCGAGGTTCCAATCCCCTATGTCTCTTAAACCAATGGGCTTAGCTTTCGTTGGTCATTGTAGAGCGAGACATGCATTACACTCAAGTAATGATTGTTCACAAAACTCTTTAGGTCTACTTTCATAGCCTAAAACGATTTGCCCATCAAATACTATATCCGGAGATATAACAAGCTTTTAGAGAGTATATCAACCTATAATCAAGTCACTAGTTATCTACTCTAGCAACAAGCATTAAGCGCAAAAAAAGATGGAGAACCATAGGGTTTCCCGTTTATTTAACAATCGATTTTTGAAGGCAATTATGTCATGTCCTCAATGAAGGGATCCATAATTCAACAATGAGTCATAGAGAGTATAAGAGATCTCATGAATCCTTATGAGAGAGAGGCGGAGAGATATGAGTCGAACCGCATCTCAACCTTAGGGAGAAATTGCTACTTCTAGACTATATAAATCGAACATGCAAGCTATGTACAAATGCAAAAGAAGAGAAGACTATATAAATCGAACATGCAAGCTAAATCCATGCACTTTTTCCTGTCCTATCTTTTGGATTTGCCGACCAAAATGATGTTTTGAGGTCGCCTGTGAAGTTTGGTGGACTTTGGTCGTGCCGTTTGGAGATGGTCGAGCATGGTCGCTTGGTTCGTCGATTCTGGCCGAGAGATTGGTTAATGTGATATCTCCTTTTTTACTCGGGCCAATTGAGTTCTGCTTCGACCGAACTGTTTTTCTATCCCTCCTGGATTGAATTGGGTTGGATTTCCCTCATCTCTCATGTTTGGCATGTATCCTCCTTTGGCCGGTTGTGGCTTTTGCGCGCCATGTTTGTTTGATATTTTGAACCGGTCTTCCTGTCATATTTATCTGAAAAACACTAGTATCTTTTGTTAAACTCTGTCAATGATTGAGATGTTCAAGTGATTTGAACTTCCAATCAAAGACTTGATCGTGAAACCTAATATACTTGGGTCTTGATCAGAGATCCAAGTAGTTGCCATAGGTTTAATTGATAGAAATAGTGTTTAAAAGAATGACATTGAGTAGAGTGTTACTTACCTTTGCCTTGTGCAATAGTGTTCCAATGGCCGGATTGTGTAGTCCGCGGCCCTTCTTGGATTCTTTGCTTCTTGAAACATGGGTGGGACTTGGGTGGGACTCAAACTAGACTCAACAATTAACACTTAGACCAAAGATGGTTAATCTTTTGGTCGATTCGTGGCGATGTAGCTATCCAATGCATTTTTCATGTAGACCTCCTTTTGGTACTTTTTCCTAAAACACTTTTTTTTTTTTTTAAAATTTATTAAACTCTCAAAAATTTAGAGAGTTATAAATAGAACAAATAAGTAGTTTAAAAAGAAAAATAAAAATAAAAAGAGGAAGGGATAAGAAAATGTGGGTTGCCTCCCACAAGCGCTTGTTTTAAGTCTTTGTAGCTCGACTCCTTTGTGTTCTTAGTTAGGTAGGATTGGTGGCTCCAAGAACTTCCTGTTGCCTGATGATTCCAAGTGCATCTTGTCTTGTAGAACTTCCTTGATCAAGTAGCCATGCGACTCTCCTCTTACTTGTGAGCACTCTCCTCCACTTGTGTAGCGAAATCGCTTGGATGAGAAACCGGGAGGTGCAGCATCGTAGAAGGTGTCTTGTCAACATTGGCTAGAGAGATTCTTCTATTAGGCCAATCCATGATCGCTCCAGCTGTGGCTAGGAATGATCTTCCAAGCAAAAGCTTTAAGTCCTCCGGATCCTTCATGGTTACTACATAGAAGTTGGCTGGAACTATGCAGCCTCCAAAATCAAGCTGAATGTCTTTAACCTCTCCAAGTGGTTCGGTCAATGATGAATCAGCTAGCTTTAAATCCATTCGAGATTTCACAATTGAATTGATCAATCCCAACTTCTTGGCTATCTCGGCCGGCATAAGGTTCACACTAGAACCGGAATCGCAAAGAGCATCATCAAAGTAGCTTCCATTGATAGAGAAATGTATAAGGAAGTAACCTGGGTCATGAAGCTTGTGTAGAAACCTAGGTTTAGGCATTCCCCTTTCTTGCTTCCTCGTACATCTTTTCCATTTCAGCTAGACTCCAATCTTGTGTCCAAGCTAGGTCTTGCATGAATGGACTCTTGTTGCAAGCATTATCAAACGGCACACCATAAGGGAATCTCCTCGCCATAAAGTTGAAATCATCTATGATCTCTTCAAGTGATGATCTTGTCTTCCTCTTCTCCTTGGTGGGAGGCGGTTGTGAAGATCTTTGAGTAAGGGTTCTTCCTTTTGGTGCTATCTTCTCTTGTTCCAGTGGTTAGCCTTCGTGGCTCTTTCTTGATCAGCTCTACTCTTCTTCATCCCAAATCACTCTTGGGTCGGTCTCTCTTATAGTAAAGACGGGCGCGGCATGGTTGTGCTTAGAACGGTCGTCTTTGCCTCGGTCAAGACCTTCTCTTCCAAGTTGGCTAAGCGAGTGGTTAAATCCTTGACTTCCTTGGAGACTCCATCTACTTTGTCTTCAAGCCCTCTAGCTCTTCTTTGAATATCTTGGCTCCTCTTGTCTAGAGAGATGTGTAAATCTCGGATTTGTGCCTTCACTTGTTTTTGCCCTTCCACCAATGTAAGCATCGTCGAGTAACATTGCCTCTCCTTTAGGTTACTTCGGCCACCTCCCTCTTAGCTTGATGAGCTACTGCTGTTATTGAATTGAGACTCTTGGTGGTGCCATCGAGGTTGTTATCAAGACTTGTGATCTTCTCATCTAAGTGATTGTCCATCTCCTTGGTGGAAACTTTGGTAAAGTGTATCGCTCTCCTATTGTCTTCAATGGCCTCGCCTTGCTTCTTCAAATCTTCCTCCATGTCCAAGCATCTTGACTCTACTCTCTCTATTTGGGTAGAGAGTTCTCCAAGTCTTCCATCTAGTTCGTATCGCGTGAACTCTAGCTTTGTCTCAATGTCGCGGCTAGTTCTTCTTTGGCTCTCCATGAAACCCTCAAGCACGGCATCGAAATGGCTATCTCTCCGCCTATTGAGAACATGGTCGTGGTGTGAATGCAACACTGGTCTAGGTGGTTGATGATAAACCGGAGGTCGGTTTTGATGATGATGGTAATGATGCTCGTCTCGGCTAGGTCCTTCAAACGTCGGATGAGCGCGGTTGGGAGGGAACGGATGTGGCACGATGCATGGCTGGGTCTTGGTAAACCCGGCCGTGGAGATCGTGTGGGATCAGTGTCCGGTTCCCAAAGTGGATGTTGGTGTTGTGATTCATCTCCAAGTACCTATAAACACAAATAAGAAAAAGAAAAAGTTAGTATTCGAAAATACCAAGATCTAGACTTAGTTTTAAACAAGACTATGCAAGTGTTTATGATGCAATCCCCGGCAACGGCGCCAAAAACTTGATGCGGCATCTATGGGATGAGTACAAGTAATAATTCCCTAAGACAACTAGTGTTGCAAGTGCACAACATATAATTGTAGTATTTAGGGGTCGAACCACAAGGGATTGGATTTCACACATTACATAATCATAGAGTTTAAATGATCTAAGCTAAATCAAAAGATGCAAGGGTTTGTGTTTGTTGAGAACACATGCAAAAGCAAATAACAATGCAATTCTATACAAGCAACATTATTGAACTATTGAAAACTCTTTTGAAAACATGAGCCAAGTCGATTGAAAAGTTTGTTAAAATCCGATTCTTTTGAACTCAAAACACTAAGGAAGGATTATTCCACTTTCGTGGTTCCAATCCCCTATGTCTCTTAAACCAATGGGCTCAGCTTTCGTTGGTCATTGTAGAGTGAGACATGCATTACATCCAAGTAATGATTGTTCACAAAACTCTTTAGGTCTACTTTCGTAGCCTAAAACGATTTGCCCATCAAATACTATATCCGGAGATATAACAAGCTTTTGGAGAGTATATCAACCTAAAATCAAGTCACTAGTTAGCTACTCTAGCAACAAGCATTAAGCATAAATAAAGATGGAGAACCATAGGGTTTCCCCTTTTAACAATCGATTTTCGAATGGCCATTATATCACGTCCTCATTGGAAGGATCCATAATTCAACAATGAGTCATAGATAGTAGATGAAGTCTCATGAATCCTTAGAGAGAGAGGCGGCGGAATATGACTAAACCGCCTCACCCTTAGGGAGAAATCTCTACTTCTAGACTATATAAATTGAAACATGCAAGCTATATACAAATGCAAAAGAAGAGAAGAAAAGAAAGGAAGAGTGATGATAGGATTTTAGGTGGATGTGAAGTGATATGAATGAAGATGATAAGATATGAGGTGGAATGCAAACAGGGGTGAATAAAGATGAAATGGTGCAATCACAATCAATCAATTCCTCTTAACCATCATAGTCAAAGTAGTATAAGAGGTTATCAATCCAAAATGGGAAACTTGTCACTCTATGAGAATATGAAACACAAGAAAGTCAAGCAAGCAGTAATAGATTTGAGGTAACACTAACAACCTAAAAATGAAAATGCAATGCAGAAATAGAAATAAAAGCAGTAGAGCAACAGCTCGACCAAGGACTCGAGTCGAGTTGGAACAGAGTACCGAGCTCGATCGAGTTTAGGGTCGAGTTGAAGTAAAAAGCAATAAAGGCAGCGACTTTAACAAGCTAGAACGAAAATTAGGGTCTAAGACAGGGTTTAACAATCAGAGGAAGGCTATACTTAATCGATCTTGCTCTCAAAACTTGTATCAAGGTATCTCTTGATATTGAGCTTCTCAATGCCTAGCTAACCCTTTCCCAAGGTGAAAGCTATCAACCAAGACTTGATCTCAGAAACAGGGGGTTAGCCAGTGAGAATCAAGCCTTGGAGGCCATAGGATCATTGCTCAAACTAATCCATCCAACCCCTTAGACCTCTATTTCTAGAGCAAGAGATATTGGAGCTCTTAGTGGACCTTTTCCAACGATTTCCATCACTTCCATGTGGAGAATCGCCTATGGACATACAAGCCAGGGGTAGTGGTCATGTAGCCTTAAGATTTGTCCAAAAGAGAGAGATTTCTAGATTAAGACATAAGCAAGAAGGATTAAGCATAAAACCTCTAATCTATCCCATCTCAAACCCTAATGGGAAACTACTCACTACACATGAATGTAAACACAAGCAAATGCAATAAAAGAGACATCATAAGAAAGAGGAGATGAAATTAAACAACTTTTATTGAAATAAGCAAGTGCAAATACAAAAGAGATTATCCAGGATCTAGGATTCAAGAAGCAAGAGCTTCAAGAACACAAAGATGGGATTAGAGCTCTAAAAAGTAAAAGACAATAAATTAAAAGAACTAAAACAAAAAGTAATCTAAAGCTTGGTGGTTTTTTCGTGGCTTTTAGCCTTTAAATACAAGAGGATTAGGTTTAGGGTCAAAGGAAAGTCAAGGGGGAAGCAACATTTTTCGGGTTTGACTGTTGACTTCTCAGCTCGATCGAGTTGAAGCTTGGCCGGTCGAGTTGAGGAACTCGACCGGTTGGTCGAGTAGATGGTCGAGCTGGTCTTCAAGATGGCTTCCTCCTTCTTCCTTTGCGTATCCAGTTGAGCTGCGTCCATGTGCCAAGTCCTCCATGCTCCTCTGTCCCATATGCTCCAGAATGCTCCAAAAGACCTATTTCAAAGGACCAAACATGCATATGTATGCAAATGCAACCTAAAACTACTATGAATGCATAAGAAGAGAAAAGGAACAAGATATGATGCTAATGGATGCTAAAACTATGCAAAAGATGCATAAAAGATGTACTAAAACTATGCAAAATGCAAGTACATCAACACCCCCAAACTTGAACCTTTGCTTGCCCTCAAGCAAACAAATAGAACAAGAAAGAGATGAGGTTTGAAAACAAGTTGATTCAACACTTAAAAACATGTCCTCAAAAGCGATTTGCTAAATGTCCAACTTAGAGATTCTAGAATGCAACAAGGTGAGAGATATTCATTAAGATTTAACCATGCTTATCAACATCAATCCCACTTCACAGTCACTCAAACAATGCATTCAAATCAGCAAATCCCTTTAACATTCATTAAGCAAAAACAGTGAACCAAAAACATGCAAGATCAATCAACTCATTTGGTTTCAAGGGTTTATGGGTTAAGAGACAAAGAGGGTCTCTTTTGTATGGTGGTTTAGTAACAGGGATCTCTCAAGAAAGTGGCTTTGCTTTGGCAGAAGGCTAAGTGTTAGAACCAAAGATGATGCAAGAACAGCAGCTCGAGCCGTCTAATCCTAACTCGATCGAGTTCAACACTTAGAGCTTTTTAGAACAAAATCCTAACTACCCTTTTTGGCATTTCGCCTTTGAAACTGAGGAGCTTTGCTCACTTTTCTTTTAAGAACTTCCTAGGGAGAGGCTTCTTGAGGTAACATCTAGCGGTTTGGGATTTTCTAAACACTTAGGGAACTTTTCTTTTCTTTTTGACACTTGAGGCTTTGCCTTCTTTTCATTCTACTTAGAACCCTTTTTTACTTCCTTTTTTAACTTCCCAAACCTTTACTAGACCCTTTTTACACTGCCAACTCCCTGGACTTAACTAAACTCTTTTTCCTTTGGATTTTCCCAACTTTTACCACTTTTCTGGTTTTTACACCCAACTCGATCGAGCTCGAGTTGGCACCCCCAAACTTAGCCTGAAAACAATCCCAAGAGAACTAGACAACTAGAACTACTGCCCCTGCCGGTTTAAACACAACACCTTATGCTAAGCAAAGCCAAGAAAGGTTCTCACATTCGCACAAGAGATAAAATGGGGTTTGAAATGAAAAGGCTTAGGTTTAAGGTGTGGTAACTGTCTCAAAGATGGAGATCAGCTATCTGGACAAGCAAAAGGGATATGAAAGTGAAAGAATGTCCAGATATGTATGTGGTAGCCATGAGTTGAAATCAAATGCAAGCATCTATACTATTAAAATGGAAGCAATCAAGGGTGCATGCTAGAATTATTCCTATAACCAAACAGAATTATCCCTGTTATCCGAATTTTTCAGAATAACCCAGAAGGAAACTGGGTCGGATCCTGTTAAAAAGACCATTTACCCCCACGTTTTTCAAAGGAGGTTTTTTTGGAGGTGAGGTCATTTCTGTCCAGAGCATTTTCGGATCTCCTCTGTTTGGAAACAGGAATAGGCACAGAAAAAGTGTCGAAAGTGTCAAAAGGGGACAGAGATCGGATCTTCGTACCGACCCGCAAAAAAAACACGCGGATCCTAGCACCACTTAAATCGGACCGGCCAAATAACCGGACGAAGCTCACATTCGAAAATTTCGCCTCTGTTTCAAGAAATTCCGTTATTGGACGGTCCCGAAATCTTTTCAAATCATTCGAAAATCGCCAAGTAAAGAAAACATACCTAAGAACACGGTCCGATTAACGGAAAGCACAAAAGAATTCCTTCATCCTCGGGACATATCAATGAGATATCCCATAACATGCTCATGCAGTTAATACAATATATACGAAATCAGAACGAGATATCACTTCAGATATTATTACATTGATAAACTAATAGATTAGGGAAATATTACCAACCTTAACAGATTTGTAATCCAAGAGAATATGCCGTGGGCAGCAATTCTGAAACCTCCGAAGCCCTAGGCATAAGATACAACTCCAAACATTATAAATATGTAGCCTTTGTCACATTAAAGGTCATCAAACATCAAACACATCTATTTTACCTCCTCCTCGCAAATATGACTATTGGATGCGCCTTCGCCAAGCTTTCTGATGTCCGACCTTTCAAGACAACATGGAAGGTCCGCGTTAAGGTGATTCACTCCTGGAGGCAGTACAGCGGCATGTCCGGCGAAACGATGGATCTGGTTCTCGCTGATGAACATGTAAGTTTAAAACCTATATGTAAATTAACAATGCTAATCGTATGTTTCAGTTTGCGTTATAATGACAAGTACCTATACTTATATTTCCAGGGTACTAAAATGCATGCTGGAATTAAGAAGAAGGATATAGGCCGGTTATCAAAGCTTCTGGTCGTTGGTGAATGGAAAGTGTTGGTGAACTTTCAGGTATCTCCTGCAACTGGGCTATTTCGACCAACTCCAAGCAACTGGAAGATTGGGTTGTCCATGAACACAATCGTTACCACATGCAGCATCAAAGTGGACGACATGTTCCTTTCGTTGGTACCTATCCAGACGATCCTAGATGGTGATTTGAATCACAATTTCTTGATTGGTAAGTAATCTATCCGTGCTTACAATCTACATCTGATGTATACTATTAAATTGCTGACTAGAAATGAGAGGACTTACATATTCCAATCGGGAACTTGTGTACATGTTTTCCAGATGTCATTGGACAGGTTCTTGATGTCAGTGAGATCAAAACTGTTCCTGTACTTGGGAGAGAAAAGCGGAAGCTAGAGTGCGTGCTTAGGGACATTAAGTAAGTATATATACACTTATCATCAGTTCAATCTGTGGTTATATTTCTATATGTCTAAGTATTTTCTTAATAAATTTTGCAGTGATCAGAGAATCAACTGCTGTCTGTGGGCTGGATACGCTGACCAACTGTACGAGGCATGCAGTAAAGCTAATGGGAAAACATTGATTTGTTTGATCAGATTTGCGAAACTCAACTTCTATCAAGGCAAGCTTATACATCAACTATATATCAACCTGATTGCAACCAAATCAACTTCGTTTAAACATTTTTGAGATATGAAACCATTTCTATTAGGTGATATGCAAGTAACTAATGCTTTTGACGCATCTAAGCTTATCATCAACCCTATTTGCCAAGAAGCAGATGCTTTCAGGATTGGGTTAGTAATATGTCTAAACTATATTTCAGGATTGTTTTACGAATTTACACATATATAAGAAGAAACTAACCTTCTGTACTTGATTCCTTCAGCTTGCCAGATGACGGTGCGATTGTTGTCATCCAAGAGGATGATGAAGAGGCTGAGAAGCAAAGGATGAAGGAGCAGGAAGATGCGTGGCTGGCGTTGGAAATGAAATCTGTGTATGAGATTCAGAATGCTACTGAGGTAAACACATTCATGTGACAGAATAGATTGAACGATTTGATAGTGATTTACTTATCTAAAATAATGTAATACCTCGCAGATAGAGAAATTCAGGATTTCTGTCAAAGTGACTGGAATTGATACCGACTGGGGTTGGTATTATTTCGGATGTGGAAAGTGCCAGTTCAGGGTCACCAAGGATCTGAAGAAGGAAGGAGCCACAAAACCTCGCCCCAAAGCACCCCGTGTGGTACTGTGACAGATGCAAATCAAATGTCAAAACTGTTGAAGCAAAGTGAGTAGTTCCAAATTTTTTTCGAATATTTTGGTTCATCAGTATAGATATAATAGTTGCCATTGTGATCACATGGAATATTTGCATATGCAGGTTCAAGTTGCACCTTCTGGTAGAGGATGACTCGGCCAAAACAAAGGTTATGCTTCTTGATTCCGTTGCTTATGGCATCGTGGATAAAACAGCTTCCTTCCTGCTAAACGGATCATACGATGAGGTAATATCATTATCAGAAGCTGCATAATATTTTTCCTGTTATACTAGCTCACTTTTAACGAGATGCCTATTTATTATTGAAAAAAACAGATTCAGGATCCAGAATTAATACCCGATGACGTCAAGAGTTTAGTTGGAAAAAGTTTCGAGTTTCTGGTCGGTGTCGAGAAGGAACACATTGTGTATGGAAATGACACCTACAAGGTGCATAAGGTCAAGAAAGGACTTCTCATTCTCGACACGGAATCTGGCGATGGACCATTCACTGCCATTGATAATGGTTCGACCATTGCATCTGGCGAGGAGGTTAGCACACCCTGTTCTCTTACATTCACGTTAAATCCATTTTGTATTGAAATGAACATAATATGAAGATTAATCTTTGAATTCTCACCTATGTTTTAGTTGTCGGTTGTCAAGAGTAACAGCCAAAGCATTTCAGATGATGGTTCAACCCCATCACCGAAGCGTGATTTTGAATCAATGCATGGTGTCCCAGCCGGCTCTTCCACTTCGAAGAAGCCTTGCCCCAAGCAACTTCCTACAGAGCCAGTAGAGAGCTGGTCAATCCGGGTGGACTACTTAGCCAGCATCCCGAAGCAAATAAAGACCGAAGCTAAGCTCCACCAACTCACCGAGAAGTGACGTTAAGCGTAGCATGCAGAAGAGTCTCCAATAATTTATTGTTTTCAATCAAGGATCGAGCTTATGTTCTCCATGTGTTTTTTTATTTTGCTACAAAGTTGGTTTTCTATTTATTTCATTTCTTATTCTGGCAACTTTTTAAAATAATGGAGCTTTTGTTTTGGATCCATTTTGCTTAATTATATTTTTCTATATCAACAATCAATACACAAATACAACATGGAGACTTTTCCAAACTGAGTAGGATACGTACCTAATAGATGCCAGATTTCAACATGGACTGAAAACGTCATATACATAAAGAGACCGCAGTTATTGGATTACCTGCAAGTAATGTGATCTACAAATGTTCAAGATGGTCTAACCCCTACTTATTCATAAACCTAGACAAATATAACTCAAACTTTATTGGAAATAATGTGATCTATCTTTAAATAATGTGAGGGTGTCAATAGACATGTTTTTGCAAAAGCATTAGTTATCTAATTATATTATATAACCAAATTATAATCGAGGTCAAAATAAAATTAATTGGACGATTAAATATTCTGTTTGAGATTTGTATTTTGTAAAAGTTAGTTGTTCATATAAGTGGGAATGTTTATATATTTGAAAAGTTTGGTGAAACCGGGAATCTCAATTGTTATATTTTAAGCTTGCCGCCATGTACAATTATAAGATTTTGAATAATCGAATGAGATCTCCGGAGTATCTTAGATTGGTTAAACTAAAGAAGAAGTGTTTAGCAATGAACAATTGTACATGGATAGATATTACCTCTTTCACAAAGATGACCTTCAGTGAAACATCCCCTGCGTGTTAAGGTTGAAAGAAATCACAAGGAGGTTAAATTAGAAGAGAACCAGGTATTGTCAAACAGACCATTGTGATTTTCCTTTTACCAAAAAACTTTGTCTACATTTCTACGTAACTTAGACCTTTTTGTTTATGCAGTTGGAAAATGGTTCGTCTTAAAAATGTAGGGACTGACACGTTTAATAAGAACCCTAAACCTCCAGTCACGAGGAAGAGGAAATTGACCGCAAGTAACAATGAAAATGTAGATCCAAATTCAGAACCGGTAACAGACACCCATCTCCTTTTTTTATTGTCATATTGATGAAGTAGGATCATGATGATGATTTGGTTTTCATGTTTAGGTGAAAAATCAAAATGAAAACAAAGGTTCAGCTGCAAAACTCACTACTAAAGCAAATATTCAACCTAAGAGAAGTAGAAAGAAAACCAAGGACGTGAACACTGAACCAAATGCAGCAACGATTATTAGCGATAAGTGTAATAACAACACTAAACCTCCAGTCACGAGGAAGAGGAAATTGACCTCAAGTAACAATCCAAACTCAGAACCGGTAACAGACACCCATCTCCTTTTTTTATTTTATTATCTAATTGATGAAGTAGAATAATGATGACCATTTTGTTTTCATGGTCAGGTCAAAAATCAATCTGAAAACAAAGGAGATGCTGCGAAAGTCACTGCGAAAGCAAAAATTCAACCTAAGAGAAGCAGAAAGAAAACAGAGGGTGTTAACAATGAACCAAATGGAGCAACGAGAATGAGTGGACCATGTATACCTCTCAAATATATTTTTAGAAAACTATTTGATGATGTTGAAGGCATATCTAAACGAGCTACCATCCCGACGAAGGAAAAGCCTAAACGTAAGAATGGAAAACCAGTCGGGCCAACACTTTCTACACAAGGTAATGCTTATCGTCCATGTTTTTATGCAATGAATATATCCTGTATATGCACACCTCTAAATAAGAATTAAGAAGTTAACTATGTATCTGTTTAACAAACAGAAAACGAGTCAAGGGTACAGAACTTACAAACGAGGAAGAGACAACGTGGAAGGAGAGTACTGCAGGATATCTCAAACTTGCCAGATGACGATGATGTTTCCGTAGGACTTTCGGATGATAACCTGGATGAAGAACGACCACATAACTATCCGGATCTTTTAAACTCTGATGAAGGTGATAATATATATCATTATTTTTATACATTGTAAACGTTAGCCTAGATCTGTAACTTATCATCGTGATTTGTATTAACAGACGATGAAGGGGATTACAAACACATTTTTCAATGTAGTAGTCCTGATAGCACAGACACAGAAGATGGTGATAATGATAAATACCAACCTTCTCCATCACATCTGCAAGAAACGCATATCTCCGAACAAAAACCTCCTTCGACCGTACACATAGTTCCAACACTTCCTGAGAGTGTGATTACTCAAGAAACTGTTCAACCTTCTCCAACTCTGAAAAAACGAAAGAGAGTTAGTATGGCAAAAAAGAAAGAAACTGTACCCGATAAGATTGGTAAGCTAATTAGAAACAACTGTCATATGTATGATGCAACAGCGAACTTTTTGTATAGTAAATCCTGATTTGTATGTTCACTGTGTTGTGCAGTATACAATGACGAGGGTGACATGACTTATTCGTGCGTGCATTGTGGTGCTAAATTTTGGTATGGAGAACGACTAAACAGAAGAAGGAGGACGGGGGATCCATCATTCAACCTTTGTTGTATGCACGGCCAAGTCAAATTGCCTTTACTAAAGGATCCTCCTGCTCTTATTTAAAAATTGCTGTTTGGGGATGATGAAATGAGCAGGCACTTTCAAAAATTTATCAGAATCTACAACATGTTGTTCTCTATGACGTCTCTCGGAGGTAAAACTGATCGTTCTATCAAAAAAGGAAAGGGTCCAAACATGTTTCAGCTGCACGGAGAAAATTACCACCTAATTGGAAGTATGCTTCCAAACCCC